AGTTTCCATCAAACCCTTACCATAAAAAATACAACGTTCCCAATTGTAAACCAGTACAGATATCTAGGCATAGTGCTTGACACAAAATTGTTATGGACAAAACATATTGCTCATATACAAAATAAGTGTGAAAAAGGCATTAACATGCTGCGATATGTTACGAAAACCAAATATGGTGCAGATCCCAAAATGGCCCTTATATTTTATAAGAGCTATATTAGGTCAATTATGGACTATGGAAGTGTGTTATATGGATCAGCATCCAATACTAATTTAAAAATAATCGACCGAATACAATATAAAGCTATAAGAATTTGCATCGGCGCAATGAATTCATCTCCATGCTTTGCAATGCTTGCTGAAGCACAAGAACCGCCCTTAAATTTAAGAAGAACTTTCTTAGCTAATAAATTAGTACTAAAATATAGAACATTTAACACGTACCTTGATCAATCTATCTCTCAATTATGTATAGATAATTTGGTTAATACCTACTGGATATCAAAAAAATATCCTTTACTAGCAGATGCATTCGCTAATACCAGTGTATTCAGTAAATACTACAAACAAGCTTCAAAATATCCACTCTATGACCAACGTTTTGAGGTCACTGCAACCAAGTTCACAGCATTATATCCATCATATTCAAATCTTAGTATTATTAATAATACCCTCGTTTCATCCATACTAAGTCGCTTTACTAATACAATTCAAATATTTACAGACGGTTCGAAGTCTGAAACCGGGACAGGTTATGCTTTTTACGTTCCAATTTTCAACTATATGCAGAAAAGTCGAATCCCGGACTATTGCTCAATTTTTACTGCTGAAGCCAAAGCAATTGAATCTTCACTTGAGTGGTGTCTTAGTGAAAAAATAAACAAAGCTGTTATTTTGTCAGATTCTAAATCTGTTCTACAATCATTGGAAAATCATGCCACAAAAAAATATAATCACCACTTAATAATAAATATTAGATCCTTATTGTGCAACTTAAGTAAACAAAATATAAAAGTAGATTTCATTTGGACCAAAGGACATGTAGGAATACGAGGAAATGAAATTGTCGATTCGGCGGCGAAACAAGCTACTCTCCTTAGTGAAATAGAGGATGTATTTGCGTACGATGATATAATCAATTTCTTTAAAACCCAAATGAGTACAGATTGGAAAAATTTATGGAATGTCTACGTATCAACTTCCAACAATCATTACGTTGATATACACCCTACACTGCCAACAAAAATTGATCACATTTTTTTGTACAATATTAGTAGGTCATATTCCACAACAATAACACGAATGAAACTAAACCACGGGTGTTTCCCAGCACACCTCTTTAGAATCGGTATCAATGAGACACCTACATGTGAGTGTGACAACTTAACAATCGGTGACTTGAATCATATATTTTTCAACTGTTCCAAACATAAGAACAATTCTGACAAATTCATGAAAAAACTAGTTTCACTAAAAGTAAATCTCCCAACTAATATCAGTACTTTACTTAGTACTTTTAATAAAGATATATATGACGAAATAAATTGTTTCCTTAAGAAATCAAATATCAGCATATAGTTATTTATTCTTAAAATCCCCAAAAAAAAAATATCTGTGGCTAATAGACTTAGTCTGAAGCCAACACCTCTCCTACACACACACACAAGCTTTATAAGGGGATAAAACCTACTGAAAATGGCGATTAATGGCATGCATAATATATCTTCATTCTAGTTTTACTATTATTTTTAATATACGTTACATATACCTATGTTACAATATGTTAACTTTTCTAACCTTTCCCACAGAGAACGATATAGAAAACCAATGCTATTAACACAGCTATTGAATAGACATAAATAAAGCACACTTGCTATCCCACTACCGGTAAAGGTGTAACCATGCGTCCAATTACGGCAGGCAAATAGGCAAGTCGACAGCTACTCTCTTTATTTATCTCACTTTTAAATATAAATAAGCGACTCATCCTCATTCTGCTGGGTTAGTTAGTTAACATATTGTATAGTTAAAAATGGTAAAAAAGTGTGGAATTTGTACCAAATAACCATTGGAGATGCTATGACGTTACTAAAAATGTCAGCACTTTTCCATTTGCATTACATTTTTATGTCATGTGTCAAACTAACACGACCTAGTTAGTTTGGTCACTGTTTTGGTGAAAATAAACGCCATTTTTTTAAAATAGCTACATTTAAATCTTATAAAAAGTTGTTTATTTTAATTTTAAATAATGGTATCATGTGCTATAAGAAGCTGTTGCAGCAGTGACAGCGTTAGCAAGAAAAAACTTCAGGAATTACATTTCATTAGTCTGAAGCATATTCTAAATAATTATAAGGACCGTATTCTTGATTTTTGTTACAATGTGTGGTAATTAATCATAATTTACTTTTCTAATAATATAAGTATATCAATCTTGCTAGTTTAGATTCTGATAAAAATGTAATGATAATTTTATATCAGTAGTGATGCCCATATAAATCATTAGTGCTATAAAATTATATTTTATGCTATTCCTATAGGTACCCTTAAGGAATAAGTTTTAAATTTTCACAACGCTAAATATACAAATAGGTACTTGAATTATAGATTTCCAAAGAACTTTGTAACGCGCGATACATGGATTGGATTTGAAAATAGAGGTGACTGGAAACCTTCAAAATATAGTGTACTATGCTCTAGATATTTTGAAGAAAACTGTTTCGATAGAAATTCTGTAAATTTTGTTCGTCTAAAAGATTATGCGATTCCTTCTTTGCTGAATCCAAGTTTAAATCAGGTAAAAGTTTAGTTCTCTTATCAAATGTGGTGGGTCATATGAAACGATTAAAAGGGACCAAAAGAGGTTAACTCGTATGTGCACGTAGCTTAGATCATCAAAGAAAACTGATATTTCGTGCAAATTTATTATTGAAATAGCAAAGCGCTTTCGGCATTAAGCCATCTTAAGTGCTTATCGTCAAGCAAACGACGTCCACCAATATCATATGTCATCGTTATTTCAATAATGAACTATTGAAATCCCACCTTGCTAAATTATCATTTTTCATAAGTTATTAAAAAGTTTATTGTTAATTTGTTTAAATTTTAAAGTTTAAAAGCCTTTTATTTAACGATTTTCGTCAAGGCAAAGTAAACAATAAGTACTGAAGATGATGTAATACTTTGCTGAACATTAAAAATCTGATGTGTCCAACACATGACTTTCCTATCTAGTTATTACAGGCTTTTTTTCGGTTATTTTGTACAACCTATTGTAGCACCTCTGTTAATATTTAGAGGTTAACTTAATACATACATTTTCCAGATACATCTAACTTGAAACATTTTTCTATATACACTCATTGCCAACAAAAATGTTGAAAAATTTAAATTTTATACTTTTCCTCCAATTTTTCCATTACGGTCCATTTTAAAGAAATCATGTAAAGAACAAAAATTATAGAGATCGATATCGCAAACATCTTTTAGTTCAACGATTTTCTTAAAGATCAGAATTTTTTACATTTTGAAACATTTCTCGAATACGGACCATTTTAGGAAAATTTTGTATAGAACAAAAATTATAGAGAATAATACTAGAAGTAACATTTATTTAAAGAATTTTCTTCTTCAAACATAAATAACAAATATATTTTCTAAAATATAAAATGAAGTAGCCCCAGATGTTCCGACTCTGCCCAAAATCTAATAATTATGGTGGACACACACACATCATTGCGAAAATAATCGAAACGGATTCAAGGGACCCCAAAACATAAAAATCCGTCGAAAACTGGAAGTCGAAAAAAAATCATGATTCCTATACTTTCTTTATCTGCATACACAGGAAAGTAAAAATGGTCTGAACATTGATATGTGTCGTTAGACATGCTATTAATGCTCAAACTGAGCACTTGACACTAAGCCAGTTTGGTTGTGAGATCAGTAGAAAATCTGAAATAAGTTAAAAAAATAAATATGTACAATACAAAAAATATCTAATCCATTTTACAATACACAAAAAGACTAATAAATTAAGCATTAAGCAAAGGAAACAATTATTGCGATGATGTTTAAATGAACAACTTTCTAGAAACATGTTTTCTTATTAATTTGTCCATTTCCCATTTTATGTTACGTTTATGGAATATAGAATTCTTACTTGCGAAACGACAACCGGGGTCCTTTTTAGAACTTTTTATTGCAAACTATACAAGCTCTCGGCATGATTAGCATTTATTTTAAAATAAAAACACACTTTAAAAGTTTATAAAAGAGGCACTTCGTCCAAATTGTCTTTGGTAGCCATACATACCGATCTTTTTAAAAACGAAAACAAGACGTCTAATAAAATGCCATTTATCACAAATACGCGCGCTATTTAAATTCGTTGTACCTAACTCGCCAATCATAAAGCGTCGTATTCCTAACACCGAAGGGGATACCCCCTCAGTATATAACAAACTCATTTGAGTAACACCTCTAGTCTTATATGTTCTAAGCTCGAATGCGACAGAGACCTTAATCCCACATAATATACCTCCGTTTCCGTGGAAAACCACCTCGAAAGAAAATGTGAATTAAATTTAAATTAAGCTAGCTAATTTTTTACAATTTTGACCATGAGAGACCTAACAAACGAACTAAGTTAGTATGATGAAAAATAAATAGAGAATTAAAAAGTTTTATCTTATTAACAAAAAAGGAAAAGAATGTTAGCGGTTTTCTAGGAAGTGATTCGACAAGGAGTTGATTTGAATAGTTCATCCTTTGAAAAATAATTATTCATCCGTCGTTTATTCCATAAACACCATATTTTTATAAAAATTGTATCTAGCTCACCAGAAACCTATGGGACACCTGGTATATATTTAATAAAATAACTAAATTTGGAGATAAACATTCTTATTTCTTCTTCCTTATTAAAATTGAAGTGCTGAGATAAGAAAAAAGTATTTAAACAACAAAGTTACTTTACTAAATATTGTTTGACTGATTATCAAATATGAAAATCGCACTTGCTTCCGTATTTCTTTTGGCCGCATGTAAGTAAAAATCTGATGTGTCCAACACATGACTTTCCTATCTAGTTATTACAGGCTTTTTCCGTTTATTGTATACAACCTATTGCAGCATCTCTATAAATGTTTAGAGGATAAACTAAATATATATACATTGTCCACATACATCTACCGCGAAACATTTTTCTATAGATATTCATTGAAAATGAAAATACTGAAAAATTTAAATTTAGCACTTTTCCTACAATTTTTCCATTACGGTCCATTTAAAAAAAATCATGTATGAACAAATATTATAGAGATCGATATCGCAAACAACTTTTATTTCAACAATTTTCATAAAAATCGGAATTTTGCACATTTTGTCAAATTTCTCGAATACGGACCATTTCAGGAAATTTTTACGTAAGGCAAAAATTATAGATAATTTAATGTTTTTTCTTTATCCGTTTTTGAGTTTTCTTCAAAATTCGAAATTTACACATTTTCTCAAATATCTCGAATACGGTCCATTTTAGAGAAATTATGTATAGAATAAAAATTATAGAGAATTATATTACAAACAACTTTTATTTGAACAATTTTTATAAAAATCTGATGTGTCCAACACATGACTTTCCTATCTAGTTATTATAGGCTTTTTCCGGTTATTTTGTACAACCTATTGCAGCACCTCTATAAATATTTAAAGGATAAACTAAATATATACATTTTCCACATACATTTAACTCGAAACATTTTTCTCTAGATAACGAAAATACTGAAAAATTTAAATTTAGCACTTTTCCTTCAATTTTTCCAATACGGTCCATTTTAGAAAAATCATATAAAAAACAAAACTTATAGAGATCGATATCATAAATAACTTTTATTTAAACAATTTTCCTAAAAATTTGAATTTTATTACATTTTGTCAAATTTCTCGAATACGGACCATTTAAAAAAAAATTGTATGAAACCAAAATTATAGATAATAATATTGTAAGTAATTTTTATCTGAACAATTTTCTTCTCCAAACATAAATAACAGATATATTCCATAAAATATAAAAACGGCCTCTCATAAAGTACCCCCCCAGATGTTCCGACTTTGTCCAAAATCTAATCATTTCACGTCAGGCCGAAATAAACCTTAAGTTTAAAATTTAATGTTTTTTTCTTTATCCGTTTTTGAGTTTTCTTCAAATTTCGAAATTTACACATTTTCTCAAATATCTCGAAACGGTCCATTTTAGAGAAATTATGTACGAAACAAAAATTATAGAGAATTATATTACAAACAACTTTTATTTGAACAATTTTTATAAAAAATATTTTTTTTTACATTTTGTCAAATTTCTCGAATACGGACCATTTTAGGAAAATTTTGCATAAAACAAAAATTATAGATAATTATATTAGAAGTAACTTTTATTTGAAGAATTTTCTTCTCCAAACGTAAATAACAGATATATTCCATAAAATATAAAAATGACCACCTATAAAGTACCCCCCCAGATGTTCCGACTCTGCCCAAAATCTAATCAGCTCATTGGACGCTGAAACAAAGCTTAAGTTTAAAATTTGGTGTTTTTTGTGTATCGGTTCATGAGTTATGCGTTATACAGACACACACACACACACACAGACACACACACACACACACACACACACACACACACACACACACACACACACACACACACACACACACACACACACACACACACACACACACACACACACACACACACACACACACACACACACACACACACACACACACACAGACATCATCGCGAAAATAGTCAAAACGGATTCAGGGGACCTCAAAACGTAAAAATCCGTCGAAAACTCGAGGTCGAAAAAAATCATGATTCCTATACTTTCCTTATATCTGTATACAGATAGGAAAGTAAAAAGATTAAACCCCACCCGAAGGTCTGATAGACTACATTCTCTAATTGCCATAAGATTTCGGTTCACAGACATAACAAAAGCTCTAAATAAAATTATTTTAACATCTAAAAAAATCTGATGTGTCCAACACATGACTTTCCTATCTAGTTATTATAGGCTTTTTCCGGTTATTTTGTACAACCTATTGCAGCATCTCTATAAATGTTTAGAGGATAAACTAAATATATACATTGTCCACATACATCTACCTCGAAACATTTTTCTATAGATATTCATGGAAAATGAAAATAATGAAAAATTTTAATTTCCTACAATTTTTTCATTACGGTCCATTTTATAAAAATCATGTATAAACAAAACTTATAGAGATCGATATCGCAAACAACTTTTATTTCAAAAACTTTCATAAAAATCAGAATTTTGCAAATTTTGTCAAATTTCTCGAATACGGACCATTTCAGGAAATTTTTACATAAAACAAAAATTATAGATAATAATATTAGAAGTAACTTTTATTTGAACAATTTTTTTCTCCAAACATTAATAACAGATATATTCCATAAAATATAAAAGTGGCCTTCCATAAAGTACCCCCCCAGATGTTCCGACTGTGTCCAAAATTTAATCATTTCACGTCAGGCCGAAATAAACCTTAAGTTTAAAATTTAATGTTTTTTTCTTTATCCATTTTTGAGTTTTCTTCAAAATTCGAAATTAACACATTTTCTCAAATATCTCGAATACGGTCCATTTTAGAGAAACTATGTATAGAATAAAAATTAAAGAGAATTATATTATAAACAACTTTTATTTGAACAATTTTTATAAAAAAATATTTTTTTTACATTTTGTCAAATTTCTCGAATACGGACCATTTTAGGAAAATTTTGCGTAGAACAAAAATTATAGATAATTATATTAGAAGTAACTTTTATTTAAAGAATTTTCTTCTACAAACGTAAATTACAGATATATTCCATAAAATATAAAAATGACCACCTATAAAGTACCCCCCAGATGTTCCGACTCTGCCCAAAATCTAATCAGCTCATTGGACGCTGAAACAAAGCTTAAGTTTAAAATTTGGTGTTTTTCTCTGTATCGGTTCATGAGTTATGCGTTATACAGACACACACACACACACACACAGACACACACACACACACACACACACACACACACACACACACACACACACACACACACACACACACACACACACAGACAGACATCATCGCGAAAATAGTCAACACGGATTCAGGGGACCTCAAAACGTAAAAATCCGTCGAAAACTCGAGGTCGAAAAAAATCATGATTCCTATACTTTCCTTATATCTGTATAGGGACCGTGCGTGAAATATAGAGGCAGCACTACTGCCGAACTTAGCCCTCTCTAGTGTTTAATTTTAGAATTAAATGGGGTAAACATTGCAAGTAAATAACGAAGGGTATGTTTTTAAATATTAAATATAGTTAAAAATAGATACCGGCCCGTACCAAACAATCGTGTACATGGTCAAAATGACGTAAAATGTGAAACATTATTAAAATCTGGACATGCATATACATTTTAAGCAAAAAGATTTAAATGGCTAAGTGACAATAAATTGTAAAGTTGTACCTTAAACAAGCGTATCCAATGTTAAAATATAGGTATTTAGTAACACTGAATTTAAAAGTATTACAATAACATTTAAAAAATGTAAATTAATAAAAAAGATTGATAATAATAATTATAAATCTTTTTAGCTTTATGTAAATCGAAATGTCATTCATCCACTGGCGTTTATGAGATGTTCAATGATACATATATTATAGATTGCTCACCCAACTATAAAAAAATTATGAAAAGCTGGTTGCAATGTGCCTTTCCTAGTGCTCACTAAATAGAGCCGTTCTAGCCCAAATGTGTTAAAATAAAATTTCAGCATTTTAATCTTTAGAAAAAGATAATAATTAAAGTTTTACTTCAAGACATGTCATTATGTATTTGGAAAGTTGAGTTTTCATGTAGTTAAATAATATTAAGAGATCTAAACAATTTTTATAACAGATGGATATAAATAATTTTAGACTACTATTTCAGAAACAATTCTACATAAAATACATAATTGCAATATGTAATACAATTTTGAAAAGGTAATGTAAACAATTTTGATATGAGGTATGAACAACTTTGGTAAGAGTTGTAATTGGACACTTATCTATTATTCTGAATAATGTTTAATGGTAATGTCACTAAAAAAATTTACAAAAAATCACTGGATTTTTAATATTTTAAAGTTTGTTACAATCTCTTTTGACAGTAATTGCAATGTATTATTTATGATTTGTTTATTTTAATAATAAATGAGAAATAGTTAATAAATTGTAAAGAGGGCCGTGATATTTTTGTCAAATTGGATATTCTTATTTCATAACATTCTACATTAGTTTTAATTAACAGAATAAACCATTATCTGTAAAATTATATTTATATAAAATGGTCATTTAAATATGTAAAAATCTTAATGACAAGAAAACACTAAAGATTCTAATTTTTCTGTAAATGATTTCTTTACAACTAAGTGCTCAAAATTGATACAAGCTAGATAAAAAGAAAACGTTGCCCAGTGAAATACGCTTTTCGTCGTCTGATTTACATATGGATAAGCAATCTTTGTAATTATGTATATCATTGGGTGTGAGGCATAATTGTGCTCTGTGGAAATTTATAAAATTTCTTTACTATCGAATGAAATCCAGGTTTCTAAAGTGATGTGTTTGTACATCCACGGATGCAACAAGTTTTTTCGCTATTGATATTACGAAAATAATTCGACTTCATTTTATTAATAATTATTAAACAATAAATGCCGTATAAAACATTAATAAATACCCCCCAAAAAGTTCACATTTTTGTCACCAGTTAGCGTTAAAGTCATGACGCACGGTCCCTATACAGATAGGAAAGTAAAAATATTATATAATAAATTAGGTATCTGCAATACTTGTAAAAATGTTAGATTTTTTTTACTATCTCATGATTTTAAGTTGGAATGCCAGTGTCATTTACAGTAAAAATGATACTTCAATATTGAGAGAAATTTGGCTTGCGTATTTACAAATATACCGGATAACACTGA